CAACGTCTTCCACCTTTACGGAAATCAGACTGACATTGTGCTCGAAGAGGAACGCCCCAGGCTGGCCTCGGTCCTGGGAACTCGAGAGTCCTCCTACATCGGTAGGTTCGACGGGCCCACCTTGCCGTGGCCTGGAAACGGTCTAACTGATGTGCAGTAAAACGATTAAGATGATATGAAATGCGCTGAGACATTTAATCACGGTCGATAAATTAGAATTCATCTATACCCTTTTTGGTGGTAACGTCATTTTGAATACTCGAGTGGTAACATAAGCTGGCGCGTCCCGTTACCGACATTTATATTTATATCGAAGTCGTTTAGTCTACGTTGACAATTATATGAACTGAGACGTTCCATATGTCATTTCAGTAAAGCAATGATGAAGAGATCGATGTAAAACTGTCGAAATCTCGTGAATTCGTTATCCTAACAACTGTTTAACACCAACGTCGCCATCTGTGACGATTTGCTGCAACTAAATGTTTGCTCTAAAAACACGTGTTAGCTCCGAGACAAGCCAGTATTTTCTTGCAATCGTTGACGAAAGTATTTTCCATATTTTCACATCTGTCTGTAATATTCCATTTCTACGGTATTCTGAATTGTACGAGCTAGGTCCTGAAACTCTTCATTTTCGATTCTAAGCCTCCAAGAAGTAAAACATCGAAAACGTGCACAGACGACGCCATGTTGGTTTTCCACTATGATAAATCCATGATAAATAAATAAATTTTTAATAAAAAATGAAATTTCATGAGTTTTAGGACCTAGGTTAGGGCTTCCATATTCCCGTGGTAAAATTTGAAACGAACCGGTACATCCAATTCGGAGAATACTTTCACGAACAATTTAATTTCTCAGATATATATGGGCTGACTCTTTCATTTCATCTTAAGGTGATATGAAAGGCGCCGGGAAAATTGTCCGACGTCGGTAATAAAGAATTCTTTTATCCGACATACCGTCTGAAACAGCGCATCACGTTACCGACGTTTATACTTATATAGCCGATGACCGGACTACGTATTGGTGCACCGCATGTACCACCCCCTTTTTTGCACCCCTCCAAAGAGTAAACACCGAAATTTCCACCCAGTTCGAAGAAAAGCTTTATAAATAATTAAACTTTTCAGAGGTCACTTTCACATCACCATAACCGCCAGTACCGAAATGTGCAGAACTGATCCTGATTTTAAAATGAAATTTTCAAATAACCTTATATCAGTTAAAGGGAAATGATTAATAATGGATTAACTAGCATGCCGCAGCATTAGTTGAAATATTTTACCGACATACTGGAAGTGCCAACGCTAACATTGGTAATAGTATATTATTCGAAGGTGTTATTTATCCACAGTTCAATATTGAGGCTAAAAATCAAAGTGAGGATAATTAAAATACCATTTTCGAGCATCGCGAGTGTTTATTCGATTTTATTTTATCGACGTTGAATAAATTTCTCAGCGTCTCTCTTATCACCTTAAATGTGAAGTTTTAGACATCCATGTATAAGATTATACAAATGCACGGCTATTAAGGTGAATTGAAACCCATTGGAAAACTTAATCGTAGTAGATAAAAAGAAATTTTTCAGCTGATATGCTATCTGAAACAGCATGCCGCGTTACCGACATTTAAGTTGATATTGACATCTGTGACGTCCTACGTTGAGTATTGTACAGATTCGTATATTCAACACGTAGTTTCAGTAGAATGATTATTAAGAGAACTTAGTCAAACTAAAAAAGTTCCCTGGATATGTAATTTTTTATTTATTTTTATTTATTTATTAATTTATAATTTATATTTTAATCGCCTGTAAGACCATTTGTTACATTTAGTCATGGACGTATAACGTACCATTCGCGCATGCTTTTAAATGTATTTGGCGCGAAGCTCTACCGAGTTTCCTGATGGATCGCGCATTAGGTTTGTTCGTTTTACCTACACTTTCTACACTTTTCCGAAAAATGTACACTTTGGCGTTCGTTTCGACGGAAGTGACGCAACGTCGCTGTTCGTTTTGCGAGGGCATCTACCTCAAGTGTACACTTTCTCTACACTTTCTACCCTTGATCCCGAGCGAGTGCAAGAAGGGTAGCCCATGAATTTTGCGGCAAATTTGAAAATTGAAAAGACCAACAAACAGGAAAATACAAAATTTATGCTAACATCTCAATGTAATATAAATAGAAGTAATTATTAATGCATCTTCTTCATGTATAGTACGATTTAGCGTTTTAGTTTTGTACATAATGTTTGACAAAATTTACAATAATCATGTATTACTACGTAACCGCGGTTGGAATGAACTAAACTATAATTTTTCCCTGTTGTAGTGAAATTGTTTTTCATTCTACTGCAATAATATTCTGACCCTTATTGATCCTCAATACCTGAAATTCGTGAAAGAAATTTTCATCTTCTACAATTACAAGGTAATAGAACGAATTGTAGGATTTAAAGAAAACGAAGACAGCTCAAGAAGGAAGGCTGGAAGAAGCATTACATTTTCGTATTCATCATCGTCCGATACGGATAACCTCAAAATCGCGTACCTCTCTACTAAATCGGTCATCTTGGACTTTTGTGAGGTTTCTGGAGATCGGAATGTCGATGAAAGTGTATCTACCCTTCTGCACTTTTCAAGAAAAGTGTAGTACCCTCGTTACCCTCGAGGGTAGAAAGTGCAGTCACCGCGAACAAACCTATTGTACGTCACTGGCAGAACGGTCAGAGAAGGAGAACTGTCTCGATCGGGTCTACGCTTGTCTGCGCTGGTCGAATGCGCAATAAGTTCTTGACAGTTGGTTGACAGCAATATACATATACACATACGCAAATTACTTCACTGCCCACTCCTGTTGCACAGACAAGTGTAGACCTGGGACCCGATTCTGGAATTCATACGAATTTTGTTCGCATACGGACAGACTCGCATACAAAATTTTGCATTGTTGCAAAGCCGCGGCGTTGGTCAACATTTGAAAGTCGTACACGAAACTGGCAATTTCGCATGTGAAAGTTGATCGTATGAAATCGAGAATTGGGTCCCCGATCAGGACTGTTTTCGTTCTCTCACCGTTCTGTTAGACCCAGTCACAGCCATATCCAAGAATAAAGAGTGAGCGGTCCATATGCAGGGTATAAAAAAACTCATAGTCACGGTTTATACAGCGCCTATCAAACACGGTTACGAAACAATAATATAACCGTTACATAACGTTTGTTACATGTAATGTGACATACATCTAACATATAAGTAAGATTTGTATTACTATTTCCTCCGCAGCTATATAACCCTGTTATAAGACGAATAATGTAACGTATACATACCATATCGGTAACATGTTATGTGTTATGTTAATATTATATAATTGCAATGCTTACAAGTTTGTAACAATGTTATCAAACGGTAATAATTCGAGGTTATATGATATTAATGTATCCTTTGAACAACATTCTTGATATATCATGTTATTCCAGTGTTATGTAACCACAACATAGTGTGTATGGTAGGCGCTATCCTCGTTGAAAAGGGAGTCGAAAAGTCCTGTACTAGTTTTTCCTACAGTGCATAAATTTCCTGTAATAACTAAGCGAAGCACAACCAATCAATCGCGTTCCCCAACGGAAAGCATAGCGGAGAGAACGCTGGTAGGGCTGCGTTCGGCTATCTGCGGCGTAGCAGCCTCACCGGCGTCCTCTTCCCTATGCCTTCTGTTATGTCGTGGCGATGCATACGAGAGTATGCCGAACCACAACTGTTTTAATTTGATCAAACGAGAACCACGGAGAGATCTCGCACCTCGGGACAAGTTTGTGAAAATGTCCTCACGGATCACGGGAGTTTTTACGATGATTGAGATAGGATTATTAACGAATTCGACCTTGCACGGTAGGTTCGATCTTCGTTCGGTTTCGATGTTAACCGTTCGATTGACTTTTTGGTTCCGAGTTGTCTCTTTTGAACAAGAGACTTTATCGCTGTTGCGGAGGCGTGTCGCTTATTTACTAAAGAAATTTGATTAGTTCGTGGCCCTCTGCATGGGGACGCCTAGATTCCAAAATTTGAACGCTCATTGGTTCTCGAAATACGCGCTGGAGTCAAGGGACCGCCCGAAAAGCCAAGGACTACTTCGGTTACTTTTTCCCCGGAAAAACCCAAAAAGGTGGAGGGCACAGGGCCTCACCGTAGGTGGTCACTGTCGCCAGAGATCCGACAAAGGCCCGCGACGACGCGACGCTAAAGAACTCCGCTTAAGGGTTCGAAAAATGAAGACAATTCGATGGGTAGGAAGTACGGTCTGAAACTAGAGAAGGGTTTTCCGGAGAATGTTTTTGGGGATAATACATTTTCTTAAGCACATTGCTTCGCCGAATACTCTTCGCGAAGCAACACCTTCCATTCGGGAACGCGATTGATTGGCTGTGCTTCGCTTAGGTATTACAGGCAATTTATGCACTGTAGGAAAAAATGGTACAGGACTCTTCGACTCCTTTTTCAACAAGGATAGCGCCGTATAAGCCGTGACTACAAGTTCCGTTATACCCTGTATTATACGTCCATGCATTTGGTGCATACTAAATTTTGTCACCAAGAGTTCGAGCACTACACGCATTGTCTTCATCGTAGCACGCAGATTTCCAAAACACTTCTTTATTTATCACGTTCAGATGCGTGTTCCTCCATTACAAGTGTTCTAAATTGTTATGCAACGGTCTTGACGCTTTTGTTTCTCACGTCAAAGCCTTCAAGGATTCCGTATTGAGCGAAATATGGGAGCCCGACGCCATTTTGGTGTTAGTATAGGTAAAGATAAAAAAATTTTCTTCGAAAATCCAAATTTTGAACGTGTCAGGATTTGTTTTCGATGCTCACGAGTCGCGGGCTAAAATTTCAAACAATTCGGTGGAGTGCCCTTCAGAAATAGTGCCATTCGAATCGATTGAATTGAGACAGGTTTCAGTGCACCTTAAACGACTAAACGCTCTCATCCAGTTCAATTTTTTATTAGATCTCTCCGTAATGCTTAAGCATCTTCTAACAAAAGCTTGATATAGACATTTGTTCTACTGGACGCCTTATAATTGTAAGATAAAAGGTGTCGGGAGGATAGACGTAAGGCAAACGATTAAATGAACGCAATTTCTGTTACAGGTAGTGCGGCAAAGAGAGCCGAGAATTGGCTAAACGTACTAACAGCTGCCTATTTGCTCCTATGCGGTCTGAGATAACATCGATAAACGATCGATCGATTTTACACAATTAATTGTACCGGAAGGCGATAAGGGAAGAGGGGATGTACGAAGACGAAAGCAAGAGACAAAGAGAGAAGAACGCGAGTAAACTGTTTGTAAAATTTTTGAATTATTAAAAAGAAGAAAAAAAGGAAACCTTTCGTTGAAACAGATATAATGCGCGTGTTATTCGTGTAAATAGGATAATCTAGCGGATTACATGTAAGCCATGTGTGCACCCGTTGCGTTTACGCAGCATATAAAATGTAATTTTTAAGTAATGTCATTGTATTAGGCTGCCGATGTTTGGAGACGAGCGACGACGAATCGTATTCGGAAATATTACACGATGTTCTGTAAGATTCGACATTTATTTTCATATCTTCGTCAGACCGTGACAGTCTCTTCGTTGGTACGTAATTCGGTAAACTGCGTACATTTACTCGGTTATGAATGGAGATATTACAGCTGCCCGCAGCACGATATGATTTCGATGAATAAAATAAACCTTGTATACTTTAACCGTTCTACCTGCATCGGGTCGACGTTTGTATTAAACGGAGTTTCTTTTAACAAATACCGATGTTAGACGCGTCGAGTGTCTTTATAAAATAAAAGACTTTATTATTAACACTTGGCCCGTCATTCGATACTTAAAAAAATGCGAACAGGTTGAATGAAAAGGGACACAATGAATACAAAGGTAAGTGAGATGCCGTAATATTCTACGGAGAATTTCAGACATTCATGATACATTATCATGGTTCATCATAGTGAACTTGTGCGCACGAGTTACAAGCATACAACTGGATACGATCTGACTTAAAATGTATATCATTCTATAGAGCACAAAATAGAGATGCAAACAAATATAATAAACGATGGTTATAATAAGTGCAACGATCTTCTCCTCGATCTTCATAATTGCAGCATTAGCACGATGCCATTTCAAATGCACCGAGCGAAAAAATCTCTCTCCATAAAAAAGGAGTTCTTGTGATTCAACAATTTTTACTTGTCATCATCAATAAAATAAGTTGCAAAGTTGGTTGATTAACGTAATACAAATTTCCGACAATATTCAATTTTCTTGACTTTAAGCTTCACCAAGCTTTTACTATTCATTACCATTAGATTTTCTGTGTATAAACATCTTGAAATAAAAAATTGATTCACTCCACACCGTGGAAAATTTTGAAAGAATAAATAATATTCTTATACCAAAGTAGAATTTGATACATTTACAGTAAATCTGATATTTTCTCGCCAATTTCTTATTTACCAGCGAACTCATTTTTGCATCAACTTGGAACAATATTTATTTGCCATCAATACCTTTTGATCTCAGGTAAAATAAGTTGTCTGAGTTAAATATATTTTATCAAAAACATGATATAAGTTCCATTAATATGTTCAATACCTGGAGCTAACTTTGAACGTAGTATTTTTTGTCGCAAAATCGTTTCCACCTGATACAAAAGTATAATCATTCGACATACAACGTCGATGATTCCCACAAAATCAATTTCGCTGGTTAAGAAATTTCTTTACCAATTAACATTTAAATAACTACAAATAATAAATTTCGCATAGAAAGTAAATTCTTCGCTCAGTGTGAAAGAATGTAGATGGTGGCACGTTCCCGTTTCACGATAACGCTTCAAGTGAAAAAGGCAGAGAAGTACTTAAAACTATATGAATTTGTGCCTCCGTAATAAGGCGAGCATTTCACGCTCACTCTGCAGCTTGTTTTTGCGCTGCCATTTGTCCTTGCATTTTCATCACGTCCATGGTTGCTTCTCGAATCTTACTTTTCTCAAGGCCTAGCTGCTGAATCTTTTCCATCTGTTCCGTGACATACGTAACTCTTCTTTTAAAGTAGTCTTTCGCCGACTCTATATCTTTCTCTACGAAATACCCAGTACCAATGTCAATGATCACCTTCTCGGTATTTGCCAGTCTTCCGGAAACGTATATCGAATTTGTTAACGGGACCAAAATCTCCCTTCCTGTAAAGATACATCAATCATTTCAAAAGTCACATATAAACGACAAACGGTATAAAATAGTAATCCGCGATTTGATTTATAAATTAAGTACTTTTAAGATTTGATAATGTTCAGGTTCGGCATTCTATTAAACGGTTACGAACCTATTTCGGAAAAAAAGAAAATGTATGAGATAAGGGCATTCTTAAGGGTAATTATGTAATAAATAAAATTCGTTACACATGATTGGCTTTTGGAGAACGAGAAAGAAATATTTTATAACAAATTTGGTATGAAATCGTTTGTTTTTTGAGGGCCCTTAAGTTGAAGCGAAACCTCCCTAAAATCCGTCGATTCGAACAAGACACTTATTTTCTTAACACATTCGCGACCGCTGAGGTGAACTCACGTCTTTTCAAGTTCTATTCCCGATTGCCGCTGATGTGAATCACGTCCATAACATTACACGATACAAGTTTGCGGCAACCAGTCTCAGAATTTCATTATTTTCGCCGGTACTCAATATTTGAAACGGAAAAAATTTGCCGGTTGCGAATGTTTTAAGGGTATTAGACCGAACTGTAAAACATTAATATATGACTTGCGAGGACCTAAGAATTATCCTGACATTTTCAAGATTTGGATTTTCGGAAAAAAATTCTTTATGTAACGCAAGCATGATGTACGCGTCTTTTCGCGACTGTGTTCAGTATCTAAAGATGGCCTTTCTGTGACGGAGGATATGTAAACAAATAAGGGGCAGGACGAAAATGTGTCTCAAAACGTCCTAGGACGAAAAAGTACTCGTATTCGTCATGCACATCGGCTTTCGAGCGGAATAGGGCTATCACTGACCGTAATTTCAATTGTTACGCGGACGTCGAACCGAACCTACTTAAGAATCTTCGTGTTCTGTGACACTAAACAGCTCGCGATTGTCAATCAATCCCCGAGGGTCGTAAATCCTCGGGCTGAGGAAGACGGGCTCGGATAGTGTTTTGCTGAAGGGGGAATCAACCGCCAGCAGCTGGTTTCGCGTTTTGAATGAAAGTATTCCGGATTTCAGTAACAAAACAGACTATATTTCCTGTACGGACAAGGAAAGATGCGTGATTTTATGCAGGTAGTCAGTTGACTCGGCAACTGTTAACTTTGGACTTGCGTTGACTCGGCAACATTTTCTCTGAGAGATTTGACGTTGTCTCGGCAACTTTCGGTAGGAATCTGATTTTTACAAAAGTTCTTAAAAAGTATCCGAGTGCATAGTTCTCCCTCCAACTCGGTGGAGGGAGGAAGTCAGACTTGAGTCGAGCCTTCTCATTGGCAGGGAAAATTCTCGAAGAGTTTCCACCCTCGAAAGCACTCGCGAAACGGCCGGTCATGTAGACCGGAAATTCGCGGAAAAAACCCTCGAGAGACGTCTGGTAGCCAAAAGCGGACTTCGGAATTTGCTGAGTCAAAAAATCTGTTCGCCAGACATCGTCCCGTACCCTCGATGAAAACCCTCGAATAGAGACCCTTTGAGAATGCCCGGACTCAAGTTTATTGCCCCCCTTTCGGGGATTGCTCGGGTCCTTTGGTACACGTGGGAAGGAACTCGAGTTTGCCATGGGCCTTGACTTGAGCGATTAGAAAACGTTTAAATTTATGCTAATAATTAACGCGGATAGGCTGTCGACGCTCCACTTCGTTTACGTCGTAAGAGAAAAGAAATCACGCGCAGTTGAACATTTATGAAAATAGAGAACAGTAGTGACGAGTCCACTTATTATACGCCTCCCGAACTGCAAAAAGCAGCCAAAGATGCAAGTAATGATCTATTGCCTCAAAATCAAGAGAACAATTTGACTCCTCAGATATGTATAAGCTGACTCTTTCATTTCCCCTTAAGGTGATATGAATAGTGGCATCTAAGAGATCATGGAAGTATTCTCCGTATTGAGTGTACCAATTTGTTTCAAATTTTGCCACATCAATAAGGAGTCCTTAAGATATATCCTGAAACTCCCGAAATTTAATTAGCCTTCATATTTACGTTGTAAAATTTGAAACGATTCGGTACACCCAATTCGGAGAAAACTTTCACGAACGAGACCTCTTTGACGCCACCTTTTATATCACCTTAACACATTCGCGACGGGATGTACCACCGGTGGTACACATCGAATGGCAAAACCAATGGTTAAAAATTTCCCCGGCGTGAACGTGTTAAGTAAGCGAATCTGGGAAATTTAAAACAATTCTTATAAATAACGTTGTCGTTGTAGTTTGTCCTGTTAACGTTTTTATTAAAAAATAAACAATTTATCATTATTTTTAAAAATGGTGCATATTTCATGAAAGACATTACCCTATAACTGTAAATAAAATTCTTCTTTAATAAAAATTTGAAAAAATCACCCAAGAGACTGTAATAGAACATTTATAAAAATTCAAAACAATAATCAGCCAAATATATTATAAAAAATTCGAGTTACGCAGGCAGTTGAGAAAAACATGATGATGGGAAAAACACATATAATATATAAACGTAAAAATTTCATGGATATTTTGTTCTGATAAAATAACACTCAATCTCCCATTCCTGTTCTATGCTATGCACCTTTCTTTTCCTCATTTCTCGAACGAAAAATTTATTTTCTAGGCGAAAGTAATTACATGCGGCAATTTAAATTCTTCTTACAAAAGGAATTTCTTCGAGTCTAGCAAAATTCATTCAATAAGAATCACCAGTGTTGCAAACCGAATGATGGCAAGTTAAAATAAAGTGGAAATGATTTTGTGAAAAGAATATTACGTACAAAAATGGTCTTAGTATTGAAAGAATAATGAAAATTATATCATATTTTGGACAGAATGTTGTATTAAACTCAAACAACCTAGCACTTGATATAATAAATTATCAATGGCAAATGAATATTGTTTAAATTTGATGTTAGTTGATGTAAGAACGAATTCACTGCCAATTGTTAGATGTGTGAGGAAAAAATATAGGACATACTGATAATTCTATTAACTTCTAATTTGTGACAAGAATATTGTTCATTCATTCAAAATTGTTTACTCTTTGAAGTGAATCAACTTTGCATTTTAATAAGTTTATGCACAGGAAATGTAACGATAATAAGTGTACCAGAAAGAAAAAATGATAAGGCCTTTTTACACGACACATTTCAGAAGTGGATAGTAAACTGATTAACCAATCCCTAAAAATTAAAAAAAAAAAGGATTCAGAAATGAGTGGTTGGATTCACATACACAGATATTAATATGAGAAAGTTAGATAACAGTATGCTTCATTAAGGTGAAGTGAAACACGTCGAGAAACTTGATCGACGTCGATAAAGATTTTTTTAAATGCCTACGTTGCCGACGTTCGTTTTTATATTGACAGCTGTGTCGTTCAAATGTGAGTTTATCGATTACCAGAGTGTTCTAAATTGTCCTAAAATTGTCCTGACCCTTTCGTTTCTCATATCAGAGCCTTCGATAATTGTATATTGATTGAAATATGAGAGCTCGACGCCATTTTGGTTCTGGTCGGGGCTAAGTTGACAAATTTTTTCCAAAAATCCAAATTTTTAATGTGTCAGGACAATTCTTATTTTGGAACTCTTATAAACTTTTGAAACTAGAGGTAAGAAACAAGCAGAATTTTGGAACTCTTCACAGCCAAAGGATTAAATATGTATTATGTTACCCATTTAACTGATACTCATACATCATAATTTTAACAAGTATTAACAAAAATATGCTGAGAGTTAAACAAATTTGCTTCCTTTTCTACAAAACATATATAGTGTCTTCAATTTTTAAGTTCTTAGAATAAGCTGAAGAAAACGTATGCATTTGTTATTGTTCGACACATGGTAGAGGCAAGTATCAAGAGACGCGGTAGCGGCTCAGACAAGTTCATGGCCGCTACCACTCTATATACTCGAAACATCTTGCCAGCGGGCATTTAATTTTCTTCACTCGGTCAGTGCTAACATACTAAAGACCGAAGAACATTTTAACCTACACGAAACGCTTCGTTTATTTTTTTTCCTATTTTTTGAGACCTTAATCATTACAATCGGTGAAGGTATTCTGGAGTTATAGCGGTTTGAAATTTCGACAACGTTAGTTTGACCACATTCGTCGCCGTCTCCCTCACCTACGAACCTACACGCGAGCAAAATCCACACTCGTGAGTACACACATTCAAAGCCGGGTTGTCCTTCAAGGCTCGTTCTCATCGCGCGACTATTTCCCAACCCAAGGGAAAGTATGGAACTGCCATCTAGTAGCTACACATAGTAAGTACTTTTAAAATCGTGTGCGTAATTCAAACTGTCAATTTGCAATTCAGGTTAAAACATTCTGTGTACTGCTTAATGAAGCATGTTATTATCCCACGATAAATACTAGCCTATGAGATATAATTCTACGATAAGTAGTGGAATGAAAGAAATAATTTTTACTCTACAATAAGTATTTTCCTGCGAGAAACAAATGTCATTACGAAAAGTTTACTAACCAACTTTCTTACACTACGATACTGTAAGAAACATATCATAATGTCATTTACTTAATGCATTGTAATAATTATTATATAGTAAACATTATTTCTTTCGTCCTACTACATATCATAGAATAAATTCTCGTAGTCCAGTACTTATCATGAGAGAATGACATTCCTCATCGTATAGCGTAATTTACATCGTTTTATTCAATGATATGTACTAAAGTACGAGAAATAATTGTATGATGAGTAGTGGAATAGAAGAAATAATGTTTACTGTATTGTAGTGTAATTATTACAATGCGAGAAGTAAATGACACTACGATGGGTTTCTTTCATTTTCATAATGTAAGAAAGTTAGTTAATAATGTTAATAATGAATTTAATAACGACATAGTTTTATTACCTTACGATAATGTGAGAAACTTTTCATAATGACAATTACTTCTTGCAGTTTAATACTTGTTGTAGGATAAAAACTATTTCTTTCGTTTCATTTCTTATTGGAGAATTAATTCACACACTTTTGTACTTATCATAGAATAAAAAGTATTAAATTATACTATACACTTAGGAATGTTATTCTTCAAGGATAAGTACTGGACTATGGGAAATAATTCTACGATATGTAGTGGAACAACAGAAGTAATTTTTACTCTACAATAATTTTTACCCTGCAAGAAACAAATGTCATTATGAAAAGTTTCTCACATTATCATAAGGTAAGAAAACTATTTCATTATTAAGTTTATTATAATTATTATACAGTAAACATTATTTCTTTCGTTCCACTACATATTATAGAATTATATCTTGTAGTCCAGTACTTATCATTGGATAATAATATTCCTCATCGTATAGCATAATTTACTACTTTTTATTCAATGATAAGTATTACAATATGAGAAATAATTGTACGATAAATAGTGGAATAGAAAAAATAATATTTACTGTATTGTAGTGAAATTATTACAATGTGAGAAGTTAATGACACTATGATGGGTTTCTTTCATTTTCGTAATGTAAGAAAGTTAGATAATAAAGTTAATAATGAATTTCATAATGACATAGTTTTCTTACCTTACAATAATGTGAGAAACTTTTCATAATGACATTTACTTCTTGTAGTGTAATACTTTTTGTGATATCATCTGCTTCTCATATTCTAATACTTATGGTACAGTAAAAATTATTTCCTTCGTTCCACTACTAATCGTTGAATTATTTATTGTAGACTGGTGCTTATCATAGAATAAAAATATTCCTCATACTACAGTAATTTATTCCGGAGAAGATATTCAAATTTATCATAGTTCCATACTTATTGCAGAATAGAATTGATTTCCTTATATAAATTGCTATAACAGCTAGTAGCCTACGTTCTGCTATATGCTACTTAATTGACAATTTATATAATGCAAATGATTTCTATTCTGTGATAAGTATTAATGTATGAGAAATAATTGTATTTTTTACTGCATAATAATTATTACACTGCGAGAAGTAAATGGCGTTACAAAAAGTTTCTGATATTATCGTGACGTTAATAATAAAACTGTATCTTTATTAAATTTGTTAATCTTATTTACTAATTTTCTTACATTACAATAATGTCAGAAACTTTTCATAGTGCCATTTACTTCTTCCAGTGTAATAATTATTGCACAGTAAAAATTATTTCTTATCTCGTAATCCACAACATATCGTACAGTTATTTCTCATACCTTAGTACTTATCACAGCATGAAAATTATTTGCTTTATATGAATGGTCAAATAAGTATCAAATAGCCGAATGTAGGATACTAGCTGTTACAACAATTTAGATTAAGAAATCATTTTTATTCTACGATAAGTAAGAAACTATAAGAAATTGTTATATTTTCTCCGGAATAAATTACTATATTGTGAGGAATATTATTATTCTATTATAAGTACCAGTCTACAAGAAATAATTCATCGATAAGTAGTGGAACAAAAAAAGTAATTTTTACTGTACCGTAAGTATTAGAATACGAGAGGCAAATGACATTACAAAAAGTTTCTCACATTATCATAATGAAAGCAAACTGTATCTTTATTAAGTTCGTTATTAACTTTATTAGCCAACTTTCTTGCATTACGATAATGTGTGAAATCTTTCGTAATGTCATTTGGTTCTCGAACTCCAATACTTATGGTACAGTCAAAATTACTTCTTTCAATCCACTACTTGTTGTTGAACTATTTCTTGTAGTGTAGTACTTATCATAATTTCTGTTATGCTATTTAATAAAAAGAAACGTGTATGTATATATATCTTTACAAAAAGAAAAGAAATCCCAGCAAAAACACTTTTGGTGTAAAAAAAAAGACAAGTTCATTGCCTGATGTCGTTTCACCTTCTGGAATCACTACGAACATTCCTACAAAGAATCAGTAGCCACTATCTTATTATTAATTAAAAAAAAAAAAAAAAGAAAAAAAAACCTTCTGAAGTAGCAGTAGTAATCACTTAATTTTTACAAAAAAAGACCAAAAAATTATTTTTCATATTCAACGTACTAAAGTTATGAAATCAACCGTTGCGGACAAGTTTGGACAATTTGACGGGTGTACTGATGGCCTTTTAAAGTAGCGAAATCAGTTACCGAAAGACAAGTACAAATACAGCTCGATTAATAACCGTTCCTATAACTTTAAATGGTTAATATATTATATGAAAGTATCAGTAAATACACTTTCAAAAATATCTAATGATGTTTGCTAGTATAATACTTTCATGGTCAATCATTTTCCTTACTTTATGGCCTCCACTCGATTCTATAAGTGACTAATCTTTATTCTGAACAATTTAAAGGGTTGCTAACTGCAGTACCGTCTACTAATGTTTGATATTGCAATTTTCTGTTAAACACTATTTTAGTGTTTTTTTTTTTGTAGTGTTGAGTTATTGAGTTGAATTGACAGCACGGTCCTTTAACCCACAAATTTCTATGTTTTCACTGTAAATGCGATGACTGACTAGAAATCAGGTTGAACACAGTTTGCCACTGCTAATGGCCTATATTAACAATTTAATTTCTTATTAGAAATCAGGGTTGGCAAAGTTTGTCCCATTCTGATTAAAACCAGCAGTTCTTTTTCAGTTTCTTTCCGTAAATAAAATAGATTACATAAAACCCACCCAGTTTTAACCAGGGTTTCAACCAGTTAAAACTATCTTATAAAATCCATCAGTATGTATGTAGCGTAGAATTTATTCCAATATCGTATGCACACTCTACGTACACATGCGCTCCACTCAAATGCAAACAAATTAAAATAAATTCTAACCTACCTACGATGTAGGGAGCATTCAAACACAATTTCGTTACCGCGCATACTTAGGATAAAGCAATAGAAAGAACCCAGTTTAAATATGGTTTAAACCAGATTTTAAGCATTATTTCTTAGGCAACAATTTAGGCAGTAAAAACCAGCAAATATGGTTTAAACCAATTAAAACCATCGGTCTAGGCTTTTTGTAAAAAAATTGGACTTATGCTAACCCTGTAAGAAATCTATGCATTGACTATAACTCCTACACATTTTAATCGTCAACACGAAGTTAAACATTTTTACATTTAATCCATTCAGTCATAGGATGTGTTAACGTGAAATTGAGATCAACACTTCTCAAGCAACTTCACAAATACGTTGCTTGAAGTCTAAGTCACTCGTATAAATATTTCTTTAGTTTTACATGATTTAATATACACTGAAACAGTATGAAATGAAATGAAAGTTTGAAATTCTTGCACTGGAATAGACTTTTTATAACACCCTGTTAAAAAAGATATAAATAGTGACTCACCCTTAGCAGTGGAGCTTAATCTGTCAAGGCATGAACCCGACTCTTGAAATTTGGTTTGGGCTATTTTCAGAGTTTGCAATGAATCTTGAAAAACAGTGAGCTCCTGTTCCAATTGCTGTTTTAATTTCGTGAGCTGTGGCAAACTTAATTTTGTTAAATCAATCTGGTGCAGATGCGGTGCTTCGGTGGCCGAAATCTGCGACATTTTAATTTATTATTGTCACACCTCCAACGTTTATATACAATGAAGCTCCAATGTTTGGTTAACGAGCTACAATTATCTATTCAACTTGGGCCAATCTCGTATAACCATACATAACCATGGAAGATGCCCAAACAAGGATATGAACGAACCACAGTAGAAAAAGAGATTATGAGACGACCATTGTCAGCCGGTCCATAGACTATGAGAAAGTAACGGTTGAGAGATCGCTCCTAGAGCGATTTTCGTAACCTTCCTCCTGTTCTGACCTCTCGTGAACTATCTGGAAAACACATACTGTAATCTTTCTATGATATGTACCAAAGTTAGGTAATTGATAATACAGAAAGTTTTCAGCGAAACATTCTTCCAAGAAGGTGTCGAGTAACCCACTCAACAAAAGTAAACAGCAGCATTACCGATTGTCACAACGTTAGGTGAAAAAGATTAGAAAATATACTTACGTGCACTCTACAGACAATGCGAGGTGTATACGGGTGGTCATTTACATGCTCATTCAATTATTTACAGGTGTCCATTTATTCGAGGAATACGAAAAATGGTGTAGAACGTAAATATGTAAGAGACTTGAAATCACGATTTCGTTTCTATGTCCGAAAGTTGATACATCGTAAATTTTCTACTGCAATTTCACTGTATATATATTTTGAAACAATTTTTTTTAAGCTAAGATAATATTCTAACTT